AAAAACATTGCAAAGCATTTTTTCCTTAAAGATTTTTAAGGAAAATCTATAGGAACACAGACTCATGAAAAAACTAATTAAAAATTTGATATTCCATTTTGTCTTACTAACTGTGAAACAATAGAAAGAGATATGAACAAATGTTACTTTATATTTCTCTGCTTATCATAATATTATACTAAGAACTACTATAACTATGCATGAGTTAATTTCCAGCTTCTTCAAGTATGGGACATACTATACTTCTATTAGTGAGGAGAAACGAATAATCAATTTTAGGTAACTCAAAAGAAAAATAGGTGGCACAAAAAGATAAAGAGACTTTGGCTTTTTAAATATATCTATATATCTATATATTTTTATTGAGTTCAGAGAGGAAGGGAGAGGGAAACACCAATGATGAGAAAGAATCAATGATCAGCTGCCTCCTGCATGCCCGCCATTGGGGATCAAGCCGGAAACTTGGGCATTTGCCCTGATTGGGAATCGAAGCCAACTTCCTGGTTCACTGGTCAACACTCAATCACGGAGCTACCTTGGCCCGGCAGGAGGCAGAGACTTTTAATTCCAAATTTGTTATACCGTAGATTTGTCGGGGGTTGGCCTCTTATTGATTCTGCTGGTGTACGGGCTTGAATGATGTTCTCCTGGAATTTGAGTATCAATTCAGACAGTTCTTTCTTCTCAGTAGTCTTAAAGTTTGACTGGCTAAGGTGGCTTTTCATAATTATGTCTACTATTTGTAAAGCCTACAATGCTTAGGAAAAATCAGTTGTTCTCTTACAGCAAGACCAAGTCCTTAACACATCCTGAGAGACTGGAACACCTGGATGGTGTGTGGGAGCATGGTCAGAACTGGTCTCGACATCGCAGCCCCGGCTGTAGCACAACCAGGCTGTTTCTTTTCCCACTGACACAAGTCAGGCCCAAACCCAGAGACGGCAAAACGGAGCATTTACAACTCCTAGTAAACCGCTGGTCTGACAGCCTGGTTTTGTTTTTGTTTTTAACCATGAATGTTTTAATGCAGCATCTTGTCTATAAATTGTTCAGAGTTTCCTGATAGGGCACTGGGGCTTTGGGCAGTTTGACCAGCCATCCTTGGATGTTCCAGTTTTAGGACACTCCCAGTCCTGCTGTGATGTAAAGCTGCCAGCGCCCCAGCTTGGCTCTCACTTCCTATAAGTAAGTGACCCAGAGCCCCTCAAGCTACTAGTGTCAGCTGAGTGACTGGCTTTTCAATCTGCTGCTTGGCTCATTTATGGCTTGAATTTCAGAGGAACACTTTCCAGGTTACTCTGCTCCATTACCTGCTACTTCCTTAAAGTGCTATCAATAGTATGGACAAGGTAAATTCCATTTAAACAGGCAAAAAGGCACCCTGAATCTCCCCTCCACTCGGTCTCCTTAGGGCAGCAGTCCCCAACCACTGGTGGTCCGTGAGGTCCGAAAGGCTGGCCCCCGCTGATCTAGGGGACATCTTCCCAGCTCCCATTCGTTCTCTCCCAATCAGAGTAGAATGACTAATGAAAGAGCTGGTCTGATTTATTCTTCATATTCAGGTAAAGAGGATTACCCAAAACAAAAAGTATTTAACACATTACTGAATAGGAGGGCCAAGATTCACAAACAAGAAAATGCCACTTCCACCCTCACCCCCACCCCCACCCCCACAGACCGACGCGCTACTCTCCCTGAGTTCATCCCTACTTCCCCAGGTGCTCAGGCCAGTGGCGTGGGAGGCATCCTTCTTATCCCTCCTCTCCAACACCAATGCATCAGCGGGTCCAGCGGATTTGGTCTCAGTTCATTCGCTTCTGCCACCACTTCTTCCCTCCTAGATCATTATAGAGACCCAGTCGCTTTTCTTGCTTCCTTCCCTGCCCCACCCCCATTCCTATTCTCCACAAGGCAGCCAGGATACAATAAAAATTAAATTGCATCCCTCCCGGGCTCAAACCTCCAAGCTCCGCCACACCTTTAGAATAAATACGCCCCAAAGTGCTTCCTGGGCTCTGAGGCGCCGCCGGGCCACTGCTCCGACGCGCTCTCGCCGGCCCGGGCCAGGCTCGTTGGTGCGCTCGGGGCCTTTAACCTGCCGTTCCCTCCCCCCGCGCGTGGCGTGCCCTGACCGGCGCGGCGGGCTCCGTGACTCCAGGACGTCACCAGGCTACAGCGCACGTCTCCCTCCGGGGCCCTCCCCACACCACGCCTCGCATCAGCTCGCCCTCCAGCTCTCATCCCTAACCCAGGCCTCTCCCGTGGCCAGCCGGCCAGCGCTGCAACCCCGCGTGGGGGCTCCTCCCCGCGGGTGACCAGCGCCCCGCTCTCGCCGCTTCTGACCTCCCTGGGCGGGACAGGCCAACCCCTAGCGCCGCGGCGCCTGGAGAACATCCCGGGGGAGGGGGCCGGCGATTTCCCTCGCCTTCCCCCTCAGCGCGCACCTCTCCGGCGGGCTCTTCTCTTCGCTGCCGCCAGGCCGACTCGCCACACGCCCCCGTGCATGCCTGCTCGGTGCCGCGGCCGCCTCCATCCCGATCCCGCCGCGACCCGGCTCCCGCTCACCGGGCCCAGGCACAGCCCACACCGGCCCAGCCACTGAAGCCCGAACTGTCAGCTCTGGGCTTCGCGAGGGGAAGCGGGGCCGCGAGGCCGGGGCGCGTCCGGATTGGCTGAGCTGCGAACGCCAGGCCCACACTTCGGCGGCTGGGAGAGGATGAAACACTGATTGGCTGCGCGCGGTCAGGTGACGGCCCTGGGGCGGGGCGCCGTCCCGTCACGGAGGGCGTGGTCCCGGTAGCTAACTCCTGGCGGGAACCCCCGCGAGTCCCAGTCTCACTTGTCGCGTGTTGGGGCCGTCTCTCCGGCTTCTCACCCTCCAGGCCCCTTCGCGAGTCCGCCGGCCTTAGCGAGGAGGCGGCGCCCGACACCAGGGCGGCGTGTGCGGGGTGAGGACTGCACACGCGGCACGCGGGGTTCGGAGCAGAGCCGGGTGCGGAGGCCGGCGGGCCATGCTTCTGCATCCTCGTGCCCGGCGTCTCCTAAAACATGCGTCCACGGCCCCAGCCGCAGGGTCCTCTGCAGAATGGAATTAGGGCTCCTTCAACTGCGTATGGACTCGAGGGTCCGGAGTAGAGGTGAGAAATGAGCACTGAGCAGTGGGCGTGGAGACGCAGGGAAGGTGGATTCAAGGTAGGTTCAGGCCGGGACAGGAAAGGAGGGAGAGCTGGATGTAGGGCAAGGAGGGAGGGCGGAGGCCAGGGGTAACGAAGTGACTCAGAAGACAGCGCCTTCATCTGGACAGGAATGAAACCCGTTTTGGATGAGTTGTTGGACAGTCAAGTGGAAATGCCAACATTCATGGACCCAGTAAACCGTGTCAGTTGTGAAAGTGTTAAGGGCAAAGGTCCAGATTCTTTAACTCGAGTGAAGCCATGGACTGGCTACCCTTTGCATAACTGTCTCCAAGTTTATTTGCTGACCCCACATGTGCAAGGCACTGTTCTAAGCACTTTTCATGTATTCAAACTAATCTCGATGACACCCTCATTAAGGAGGTAGCTATCCCCATTTTATATAGGAAATTAAGATACAGAAAAGCAGCTTGCCGAAGTTCACATAGGTAGTTATAGAGCCAGCATTTGAATTTGGGCCACACGCCAAAGAAATCAAGAAGTTGAATTTTAATTGGGCTTTTCAAGGACTTGCTCAAGACTGGCCTTTTTGGCTGGAAGCTCCATGTCCCAATCCTGGGAGATCAGAAATCAACAATCACCAGGTTGATGGGGCACACATACAGGAAGCAGAATGGTGACTATGCCCTGAGTGTGGGGACCCCAAGAAGCCACAAGGCCTGGAAGTCAGGGTCCCACGCCACTGAAGTAGAGGACAAAGACTAGGTATGTGCTTATGGCAGTGGGATGAGCTGGGTGTGCTGCTTAACAAAATGGGGTTTCCCTGGACAGAAAGGGAAGGTCCAGTGCTGTGGAAATGTCATTTTTAAAAAACTTGATCCCTGATAGAGCATTTTTTTATGTCAAGTATTTTGAAGTCAGAATTTAACCACAGGCACTGACACCATTCCCCTGCACTGGCACCTGTGGCCGCCCCGACAGTGCATGTGTGTGCCAGGACCCTGGCAGGGAACTCGTGCCCAGGGTCAAAGGGCAGAAATCAAGTGTGTGGGCGGGCCTGTTGCTGACCTCCTGACCCAGGATGCCTAGTGCCCTGCCAGTGAGTTCCAGGGACACTGACAAGCTCCGATGACAACTGCAGGATCTGTGGTGCCTCTGCTTGGCCTAGGGATGGGGACTACTGTGCCTCCCTGATAGGCCAGCACCACTCAGATGCTACCATACCCTTTATCCAGCCTGACCCTTCCCCCCCTTTGTACCAGAGGTTGCCCACAAGCAGAGGCCACCCCCAAGTCTAATGGGCACAATTCCTGGTCACAACAGGAAGTATGGCCTACATTCCTCCCCTGCTGACCTCCAGATCAGATGATACCTAACACTGTGAATCAAGAAAAGCAAAGATCAGCCTACCGGTAGGTAGATAGGAAACCCAGAGGCAAGGAGGCTGTCAGTCAAACTGGAGAGGGCCAGGCAGGCGGTGGACAAAACCATACAGATATTTATTTGCATATGACATCACGGGTCCAGGGGTCTCCTGAGTGTGCTGCCTCTGAAGTGTGCAGACCTTACTGAGCATGGCTATATGCTGTTCCGATTGCCGCCCTCCACTGCCTGGGAGGCCACCTCCTCAGGCCAGGAACCACAGCAGACTGAGGCCACAGGTGTAATGTCAGTGGCATCAGACATTGTTTGGCTGTTTCCCGAGGTTTCTCCTGTCCCTCAGGAGCAAGGGTCTGGGTCTCTGATAAGTAGCTCTGATCCCTGCATACTAGTTCTTAAGCACATGACCCTCAGAAACCCCAGCCCCACTCCAGCCAGTTCCTCTGGGCCAAATGCGACAAAGGACTCCCTGCCTTTCCCCTCAAAAAATCATCCAGCTCTAGCCTCACAGGGTTCTAAAGTTTCTTTGCCCCACCCAGACCTGAAAGCAAGAGCTGGTTTTTAAGACCCAAATTCTCATTGCATTTAGACAGAATGGATGTCTTTCATATTTCCTTTGTATTTCTCTTCAATAATTGCTTGACCCAACATCTGTCTGCTCTATACAATGAAAATACAAACTAAAGAATAGAAAAAAATAATTAAAGCATTAAATTGTACAAATTACAAATCTGTTCCAAAATATACTTACATTAAATAAAATACGCATTTCAGTAAGAGATCTACAGTGAATGACTGCATTCTGGGAAGCCTCAGACACTGAGGCAGGGCTGACATTCATGGGAGGAGATAAGAGACTGCTCATCCAATCACAGTTTGCAGCGTGCTCGGGACCGCCCACCTGCCAGCTCCTGGCAGGTCATTGGCATTGCTGTGCAGGGAAGTGATTTGGGGAAGGTAAGAAGCAAGCTCCGATTCTGAGTTCATTACAACTTCTCAAGCATTTCCTCAGCCTATACAGTACAGTTTCACAAAGTAAACATGTTAAGGTAAGCAGACAACTCTTGAGAGCCCAAACGCATTTTCTTGCTGTATTTATGTGGAACTGTCTACAATGGGCAGTCGTGAAGAGGTTCCTCCGTAGGACATGTCACAGGACCCAGCAGAGCCAGGGTCTGCGGGAAGCGAAGACTGGGAGGGAGGCCCCCTCGAGAGCTGGAGACGACCCTCTAGCACAGACCGTGCTGCAGCGCCCCTCCTATCAATCATCTGGCGTACCGCTTAATGTAGTCTTCCACTTTGTTCCGGAAGTCCTCCTGTGGAATATGGGAAGAGCAAGTTAGTGAGGGTGAGTGACAACTAAGGAAGAAGTGGGAGCCACCGAGCCAAGGGCCCACTGAGAGTTCAGCCTTCCGAAGTCAAGGTGGCAGGGCCACCAGAGGCCTGTGGGGCTGGTTCCCTGTGGGTGCCCACTGTGTGCAAGACACTGTACCAGGGTTACGAGGGCAGGGAGTACAAACAGCAGCTGGAGATCCCAAGACCTTTCATATTGCAGATGGGGAGAGTGAGGCCCACAAGTATGGTCAAGGTCAGGGCACCCGCACTTGTCCACGGATGGTATTGCACTCAAGAGACTCCACAGCCCCTACAAACTCTCATCAAGTCACTACCACAGTGCCCAGAAGCCAACAATACTCCCAGCTCCTAAGGAACTACAGCCCAGGCTCAATGGATGTGAAGTGAAGGCCCCAAGGCACCCTCCACCCAAAGGTGCCTCTGCTGAACTCCAATATCCTTTGCTCTCATCATCTCACCCAGGACAAAGCCTGGAGTCCACATCTTCAGAAGGCCCTGTGTGCTCAGGCCGCTATGCCTCCCACATCTCTCTTTATCCCCCCGTGGCCATGCAGCCAGACCCCCTGTGTTCACATCTGGGGCTCTGCTCCTTCCTGGTGAGTCTCTCAGCAGAGAATAGGGGCTAATAAGAGGCCCTCCCTCTCGGAGTCAGGAGAACAGATGTACTCTGGGAGGAGTATGGGACAATGCCTGGCACCTGGGAGGGCCACTCAGGGTTGCTGATACTGTCGATTCACCACTGCCCTCCTGCTCAAGTAACGTGGCCCCTGTGCTCTGCCCCGAACACCTGGAGCACGCTGCCACCTTGGGGCCTTTGCACTGCTGTCAGTCTCTGGAATACTGTTCCCTGAGATCCACCTGGCTCCCTTCACATCTATAGTTACATCTAATCGGAAAGGCTTTCCCTGAACATCCTCCGTAAAGTGCAACCACCCCCCCCCCCACCTCCCCTCTTCCATGTTGATGGCTTATCTCTGCTCTGCCTCCTCCCACTAGAATGCACGCTGCACGGGGACAGAGACTGTCTGTTCACTGATCCCCCTGAGCACTGAGCATCTCATCTGGTACTTAAGCGGTCAACCTTGGGATGAAAATAACTACAAGAGAAAGTGAGCACAGATACAACATGATCGTGACTCGACATCAGGATGCAGGTTGGTCTGGGCACATCTAAGAGTTCATGTGGAGGCATCACCATTTGACCGATTTTAGCACCATCTGACTGGGAGAAGTTTATTAATTGCAAACCTGCCCTTATATCATACAAAGAATAGGAAGCAGCCTTCCAAGACAGACAGAACCAGAGCCATCTGTATGAGCTTTCTCACAGCTTCAGTCTGCCCTTGACAAGGTTGAGTCCAAAGGGCTGGAATAATTGCACGCTGATTGGTCCCTGTCAGCAGTAGTGACAAGTGGAGTGAGTACAACATAAAGGAAGCCCCCTGAAAGGCTCTGGGCCCAGGAACAGCCTGCGAAGCTAGTCAGCAGTGGACCAACTGGGGTGTTGCTGGGCAACCCCCAGCCAGGGTGGCCCGGAGATGGCAGGGGCAGAGCCATCTCCACCCTCCACCTGTCCTGGAGGCCTGTGCTGCCCCAACCTCTTCTCAGGTCACCTGCCAAACGACCCTCCTCTGCCTGACCCTTCAGTTCCACAGTAGAACCTACTGCTCCCCAAAGTGCCTATCACTGGCTTCCTGAGTCTGCATGGAACACATGCTGGGCACTCCAAGGAATCAGGTGGCCCCTGCAAGGCTCAACAAGCTGCTAGCTTCCTCCCAGTCCCACAGCCGGCTCCTAGGCCCCTGTGCAGATCCCAGACCCTGCCACATGCTTTGTAAAGACATGTATACAAGGATATTTACTACATTACTATTGTAGTAGGGGGGGGGGGGGGAGTGGGAAAAACCAAGTGCCCACCAGTAAGAGAATGGCTGAATAAGTATGTAGAGCTGCTTATGAGACATTGAAGGGTTCTGAAAGTAGAAGAGTGACACTTCATGCATTGACTTGGAGGGAAAAGGTTAAAAGGGATTGAGACTGGAGTAATGAATATGACCCCATTCATTACACAGTCATAGCTCTGGGAAAGGTGTGGAAGGTGAGGAGGCTGCTGGGGGCCCAGAGGGCACTTAGGGCATCACGCCACCCACGGTCCCTTTTATGTTCCGATGCTGCTAAAGGTAAAGAAACAGTATACCAGATTCTATTACGAATTCTCTCCCAATAAAACACGTGTCTGACCTGGGGTCAAACACTTCACTGAAAGCATTTTATAATGGCATTGTGACATGCCATTATAAAATGCTTTAAATTCCAGTCCTGGATCCCACCATTCTCAACTTTGCGCTATCAGTTACCAAGCACACCAGCCAGGAGCTTCCTATCCCCGCCTACCTTGTCCCTCAGGTGATGCTCTGCAGCCTCGATATTCAGTGGGTCATCAAAGTTCAGAAGATCCTTAAAGATAGAAAAATAACATAAACAAGGGAAAGACTCTCTTTCTCTGCTGTGATACATCTTCATGTTAAGAACTAGGCAACTGCCGGGACCGGTTTGGCTCAGTGGATAGAGCGTCGGCCTGCGGACTGAAAGGTCCCGGGTTTGATTCCGGTCAAGGGCATGTACCTTGGTTGCGGGCACATCCCCAGTGGGGGTTGTGCAGGAGGCAGCTGGTCGGTGTTTCTCTCTCATCGACGTTTCTAACTCTCTATCCCTTTCAATTCCTCTCTGTGTAAAATCAATAAAATATATTAAAAACACACACACACACACAAAAAAACACACTAGGCAACTGAAACCGACCAGCACACTGCAGAATGAAGCCCGGGAAGCTGAGGAGGAATCCACTATGAAGCTACAGAGCACTCAACTTATACTTGGTCCTACATGGTGATGAATAGCTAAAGAAGGGGGAGAGAGGTCATGTTTAGAGGTAACTGTCCTAAATTGATGAAAATGGGGGCAAGAGCAATCACATTAATTTCTAATGCTATTGGTAACTAGAGAATGAAAAACCAGTCATTATGAGCTTTCCAAGTTAAAGTCCCATTATTTTTTTCTTTCAAAATTAATTCCCCTCCTTCATTTTGTCATTAACAACTTTGCCTTTGTTAAGTCTGTGGTTTCTACTATATTTGACCTTAACTGCAGTTCCCTTTGATCTTCAAACTCGCCTTCCAAAGTATCATCACAGCCTGTAACCCAAGTGAATGCAGGATGGTGCCTTAGGTGGGTGTCCCAGGTCCTTCGGGGTGGGGGGCACCAGCCCTCTTCTACCTTAGGAAAGCCCTGGGATGGCTACTCCCCTTCCCTGAAGCAACACCAGGGATTTCAGACGGGCCATGTCTGATCTATGCTGAGTGTTCCTCCTCTACCCAGGCAGTAAGGTTGGTTTTATAATGAACCCCCGCTTTCCAAAGCCACAGAAGGACCATCGTAGACAACCATATTCCTCCAGGGCAAGTGCTAAATTTGCGGACTGTATTCCTGATTTGAAAATAAATATTGACAAAGAAAGAAAATATAACAAAGAAAAACTATAAATCTCTATGGTCATTTATGGATTAAACTCTAAGACCTGAAAACAGGTAAAAATAAAGTACATATCAGACAAGACACCCAGTGTGTACAAAGACCACACCAGACACACAGAATTCCTTATCTTCTTTACCACACACACACCTTTGACCTAAAATGACTAAACTGGTTGGAATAACCATTAGAGATTTAATTAGCAACCTAGATTGGCTCATTAGAATTTGGGAGGTTTGGAACACTTGGATGGGTGAAGATTATACCAGATCTCTTTAAGAGAAAGAAAGAAAATTCCAAGGAGCCACCATTATTTCCTCCCTTTAATTCCCTTGCGAGTTGCTAGTCACAATCATTTCCGATTCAGGGCCAAGGCACCTGGAGGAAGCAGGATGGTTTCGGGTCTGTTCCGCTGTGGTGGAGAACGGCACTGAGCATCGGCCCCTGTGCTCTCCAGCTGACAGAGGCCTGGCTGCCAGGCAGAGTGTGAACCACGCTCAGGCCGCGCTGCTCCAGAAATAACCATTCTCTTATATGAAAGTCAAAAACAGAATCACAGCGGAACGACTGGGCCCAGCAGAAAATCGTCCAGATGCTCGTTCCCCTTAGTATTACCTTCTCATGGAGACTAAGGGAGGTCTGAAATCAGCAAGCGTTGGTTGTGTTCCAGGTGTTGCCAAATGACATCACGTCAGAAGGCAAGGAAGATGGGGACCTGGAGTCCAATTGTGAGGCTGTTTTTTGCTGAATCCAAGAATAAGAAGCCTGTGGCCTCTGACAACAGGTTGAGGACAGCAGCACCACCTCAAGGTCCATCCACTCTGAGCCAGGAAGCTGTCCCTCCAACAGCCACTGTCCTGTGGGCTGTCCTGGACAGCCTCATTTTCATGTAGGTTTTACCAACAGCAGCACAGCTTCTTTCTTTCCTCCAAAGAGGTTAATTTCTTTTTTGATCAAAAACTCCCAAGGAACACATAACAATATATAAAAATCTAAACTCCAGCTTTCAGCTGTGCCCGTCTTAGTTTTTTCCCATGCCCCTTCCTGTCCTACAGCCCTGCCATGACGAGCTGTTTTCTGAAGACAGTGAACTCTGTTGGCAGCTCATCACTAATACGAGAATGACTCAAAGGTTCTGGGTTTGTGTAAAGCCTCAAGAGGGATGAGCACATCCTCCTTCACTCACACTAGGACACGTGGGAGTGAATAGGGCTATAGGCTGGGCTGCTGTGAGAGCAGACGGAGGGGTCTGCCAGAGGACCCACCCCCACGTGAGGAGACTGAAGCCACCGACCTGGCTTGGGGGATGGGGATGCTGTGCCACCAGGCACCTCCCACATGTCACTGCAAACCACCTCAGGACCAGTCTCACAAAAGTGTGACAGGAAAGGGGTCAGTATGGACATGGTGCTGTCTTTAATCCCAGAGTTATTCTTATGGGCTAACAATAAGGGAACCAGAGAAGCTTGGGATTTTGGTCAATATACTTACCGTAAACAAAGAGTTTAATCCCCAAACAACATCCTGGAATGAGGAAAAAAGAAAACAAGTTTCAGGCTCCTATGCACAGCCTTTCAAACCCGTAAGAAATATGTACTGGCCCATATAAAAATTCATCTTATCAGGCTTTGTTTTCCCCAAGCCATAAAATTAAAACAACTTCTCTCATTATAATCACAGAGTAGGAAATTCAGAAGTGAGCAGTCACAGACAGTGAGTGTAAAATCAGAGAACAGAAACTGCCTTCCCAGGTCGACGAGTCCAATCCTGGGTGATAACAGCCCTTAGGCAACTTCTGCACAGGACACCCTGACCTCACAGGACCACTCACCTGTCACTCCCAGGCAGAGTCCACCCACCTTTAAGATAAACTCTGCTGTTTTGGGATCTGTTGCTTCTTGGGGACCAGATCACCCACCATCCCACTGAATCTTAATAATTTTGCTCTAGTTACTTCAAAAATCAAGGGAGACATTTTTTTTTTTAATTCAAAAATCAGAAATTTTAACTAAAATGACAGAAACCCACTTTCTCTCAGGACTGATTGTGATGGAGGACTCTCATTAGGCTCTCTCCTGGGCTTCCTTTCACTAGCACAAAGGGGCTTGTCTGTTGCAGGCCTACTCTCATTCTCCTCTGATACACTGCTAGTACTATTTTAATTGCCCTCTCGTCTATCCCCACACCACTCCTCCGTCCGTCCATCCATCCTTCTGGTGTGAGGCAGGCCTAAGGCCAGAGCTGAGGGTGAACACCAGCTCTCAGGCTGAAGGAGCTTCCACAGGCGAGTTCCCACAGAGAACTCATCTGGGAGAGGATGTGAGGTGCTGCCAGGAAGAGGGATGGCAGGAGGGAGCACCTGCCAAGTTGAGGGACTGCCTGTACAGAAGCTAGGTCCCAAGAGGGCAGGGCACGCCCAGGGTGTGGTAAGAAAAGGCCAGGCTAGGCTGCCCATGGCAGTAGAGACCACACCTCATGAGGAGCCACGGTCATGACCACAGGAAGTCGGCACTGTCCCGACTTTGGGACAGGGCCCCAAAGGCCTTTCCTGTGTTCTTCTTCCCCCAAAGTGCCTACTCAGTAATCCACAACACCTGCCAGTCCCTTCTGGCCACAGAGTGGTCTGCACACGAGTCTGCAGCTGTCTACCGAGAGGTGTGGTCAGGTCCAGTCGCCTGCCGGGCCCCTCTGATCCACACGTGTCTCTGGGCCTGTGTCCTCTAAGAACAGTGCCACTGCAATGCGTCTACTGTCCTCTTCCGAGAGCCGAGGAACAGGAATGAGGAGGGTCCCAGAGACCAACCACTCAGTCAGCATATGATGGATACAGTCAGGTTTCTGCGCATTATTTTAGAAGGCAGGGCCTAAAAGTTAGTCTGTGAAGCATTGTGGGAAAAGAAGCCCAGCACCCACAGGGGAGGGCCCAGGACTGTCCTATCCTGCTCAGCGTCACCCTTCTGACACAAGGTATGGCGCCCAGCGCATCTTCGTGCATCTGGCCCAAACTTAAGACTCAAGTAGTTTTAGTTGTTGCAACTTTTATAATCCATGCACAACCGAAGTAAAGGTGCCATGTGGGGAGAACACCGCTTTTGAGAGAGGGCAGCATGTGCAGTGCACAGCCAGCTCTCAGAGCCTTGCAAACAGGCTGGCTTGACATCTACAGCCCTTTTAGACTGCCGGGCTAAGACTGTCGGCCTCAGGGAGGAGTCACCGGGAAGATAGCATGGCCTAGGTGACCTTGTGCTGAGTCTGGGGCAAAGTGAGCTGGGAACCAAGGTGCCCACACCAGCATGGGGCAGGCACTCTCCTGGGCAGTGTCAACCCAACACAGACAGGGCAAAGGTGACAATGGTTTGGAACTGTTTCCATTAGTCAAAAAGGATGGTGATAGGTAGCTGTTCACTAGCAAGTGAACACTGGCCCAAGCCTGACTACTTCTGAGAGTGAACAGGCCACAGGAAGAAGCCCTAGGTGTCTTCTGGGTACCACTGCAAAAACGCCTTGAGGGGAGGCTACAGATGGTGGCTCACACAGGCACCATGACTTCAGCTCTGAAAGCAACTCAAGCCTATGATGTGGAAGCAGGTGGGTCATTTATTTAGTCCCCGTGGCTCCCTTCTCTACAACCCTCCCCAAAGCAGACCCGGCCGCTGTCCTGCCGCCCCTCCTCTGTGCAATGTACCTCTGGGTAGCTCAAAAGGGACACACAAAAGTCACACCTCCCCTTCTACTGGCAACTCTCCTCACCTTTAAGGGTGAGACACGATACAAGACTAGGGTGGGGGGTAGGAGGATAGAAAAAAAACCCTGCAGATCATATGAAGCAAGATGGTAAAGGGCAAAGGCAGAGCAGATGACCTGACACGCTCCCTAAATCGTAGAGAATGGGGACAGAGGGACTGACTGGGCGAGTGCGTGGCTAGCAGCCCCTGGTGGTAGTGGGTAGTGGGGAGAGGAAGCGCAGGGTGTGCCTGGCCTCCTGTGTGCACCAGACAGAAAGGACATGGCTGTTCTTACAGGTGACTGTTACTGAGGGAGAGGTTTCCGGGCACGGCTGTGGTCAAAGGCACCTACCTTTAATGTCCTTGTGGGAGCCCAGCCAGTGCCGTCGATCGAATGTTCCCTCAGTAAACTGGAACAGAAAGCTCAGTGGTCAGCGAATCCTCACTAAAATGAACTTTCCATATTTTGAAAATTTATTACTAAGGTTCCTTCTGGTGAAAAATTAGTTTAGCATTGCCAAATTACATCACGCTGCTGCTTGACCAGAACCCAATAGGTCCAAGGAGACGGAGCACCCTCAGCGCTTTCTGCCCTGCTTCTCTCCTGTGCCACCACTAGTTTATAGCTGATGCCACTGTCCCCATGGGCATGCCCACTTTTTTTTTTAAACATTTTTTTAAATCCTCACCTGAGGATATATTTTTGTTGATTTTAGAGGGAGAGGAAGAGAGATCCATGTTAGAATTACCCATCAGCCACCTCCTGTACACACCTTGACCAGGGGTCAAACCTGCAGCCCGATATAGGTGCCTTGACCAGGAGCAGGCCCATAACCTTTTGGTGCACAGATGATGCTCCGAGACACCTGGCCAGAGTGGGGTGTCCACCTTTTTCATATTGACTGGTAAGGACTTTCACAAACAATGTAATCCAGTTGCTCTTCGCTTTTGACTTTGTGTTTTTATATTTTTAATCTTAACCTATCAATGTTTATGGCTTCTCTAGCTAGCATCTGCTAAATTCCAGTCATACTCTGCTAATAATTTGATTTCTCATAAGTCAGCAAAAGTGACAAGAGGGATTCCTGCTGCAGATCTAGTTCTGAGTGAGGAAGGGGACATGAGCACAGGTGAGAGCCCAGGGAGAAAGCTGGACCATATGCTACTTATCACTTGAAACTGAAGATGGCACAGGTTGGAAGTTTCAATACTTACAGGACAGACACTTCAGAGGGAAGATGCCTTCTAAACAGGTACTCTTATAAAATGTACTCTTAACTATAAAAAAGAAGGCTGACATGAAGAGGAGGCACCACACATGAGGTGGGAAAATGGGTGCTAACTGCACTTGTAAGAAAGGACGAGGAATCCGCTGTCCGTGCAGCTGGGAGCAGTCACAGGGTGCACACTGCCTTTCAAAGGTGATAATGTTAGTGAAAGGAGAACGTTTTCTTCCCGGATTTCATTAGTGAAATTTTCCCCTCTTAGCTAAAATCAGCCACATGGAGGGAATGTGGCTTCATGAAAACAGGACTGGAAAAGGGCGAAGGCTCCTGGAGGGCGGATGCATGACAATGCACAGCCTTGTCCAGCAAAGGGCGTAGGAGGCCTCCGGTCTGAAGGCAGCAGCCAGGCATGGAGTGCAGCCACAAGCCCCAAGGGAGGTCTCCCAACCCTCCCAATCTGGCCAAGCTTCAAAATCTTCCTTCTAGAACCCCAAGGCTCACACACAGTGCTCAGCAATGTGGAAGACAGACAGAAGAGGACTCACCTCAGACATATCTCGCCCGTCTCTGTGATGTTGGGGTGCCAGATCCTGGTCAAGCATCTCACTTTGGGTGGCTGCAATGCAGAGAGAGAGGTCACAGGCCTTCCAAACATGTCACAGACCACAGCCTCACCACGTGCTCACCCAGTCCCTTGTTCTCCTCACTAGGCATTCAACCTCGATACTGGCTCACATCACCCATGCGGGCCTGTGTTGTCACCTGTACCCACATGTGCTAGTCTTGCTGGTAAAGCCTGCCGTGCCCCCAACCAAACCCTCTACAAGCCCTGGGGCCTGATGGTGACTGGGCCCACTGTGAGGAGGAGCCCACATGCACTCCAGGGGGGGTCTGCAACGCTCTTGCCCAGTGCCAACAGGACCCCATAGATTTCCTCTGGTGGAGCTGCTGAGCTGTGGTGTCTGAAGTCACTGCTCCCGAAGTGGTGCCATTCCCTATGTGTATTCCTGAAGATGCCACTGCCATCTTCCTAGATGGAAATCTGATCCATTTACACTCACAGCAGGGAGAATGAAACGAGTACTGGGAAATAAGGCAGTTCAACATTGTTTATGATGTGGTGTGTTGAATCAAGTTGTTCTTTTAAAACTATAAAAACAGCCTGGTCAGTGTGGCTCAGGGGTTGAACCAGGAGGACAGTTCGATTCCTGGTCATGGCACATGCCCAGGTTGCGGGCTCACCCCAATAGGGGCTGTGCATGAGGCAGCCGATTGATATTTCACTCTCACATCATGTTTCTCTCTCCCTTTCCTGTCTTTTCTCTAAAAATCAATTTAAAAATATTAAAAAGCAAACATTCTTTCTCAGCACTATCATGAATTTTCTTCTTTAAAAAAAAAGTATATTTTATTGATTTTTTACAGAGAGGAAGAGAGAGGGATAGAGAGTTAGAAACATTGATGAGAGAGAATCATCGATCAGCTGCCTCTTGCACACCCCCTACTGGGGATGTGCTCGCAACCAGGTACATGCCCTTGCCCAGAATCGAACCCGGGACCTTTCAGTCCGCAGGCCGACGCTCTATCCACTGAGCCAAACCGGTCCCGGCATGAATTTTCTTATTGATTTCAAAAAAACAAAACAAAACCCAAGATATCATGAGACTTCTAAAAAATGATTCGTCCAACTATGCAAATATAGGTGTCTAAGGATTACAGATTTAGGTACAGAGTAAGTTTAATACGCTCATCTGCTTTTCGGCAAATGAATGAGTGCATTTGACAGGGAGATGCTATGATAGCCTACACTCCAATGAGGCCTGCAGGCTGAAGAAGGGAGGCCAGGCTGTATAACTCTCTCTAATGGGCAACTGAATTTAGCGAACTATTGAGTAACAATATAGTTAACTAGTAGGTACCTGACTATAGTTAACACTGTGGGCAGACTGAATCACTGGCCGGCTCAGCACCTGAAGGAACCAATCTCTCTCCCTTTCATGGAGTCCTGGCCTGCACATGGTCACCCCATGTGTATCTGTCTGCTTCTGCCCCCTTTTCTCCTTGTTCCTTGCACAGACACCTCTATTGTCAATGGCCCTCTTAACTGAAACCTCTGCATGAGAACCATGGACCCAGATTCAGACACTTTCCAAACAGAACTGTTCTTGCAGACCCTGCCACCCTCAAAATGAGATAAACAGGAAATAGTCCAACCACCCACCCCAGTGGCTGGCACTGCATCCATACATCCCAGGGCCAAGAAATGACGGCCACTGCAGGGAAAGGGATTCTTCAGTGGACAAGCGGTTAGGCATTAAAACTCATGAGAGTCCCACTCAGAGCTCCGTCCTGATGCAGGAAACACACAGGTGAGAGCCACAGAGCACTGGAGGAAGTGGAGATGAGCTATTGGGTCTAGGCCTCTTTAAAGCATTTCATAACATGAAAAACTCATGAAAGAAAAGTAGACTTGACTGCAATGATGAGACAAAAAACCAACTTTTACAGAACAACAACAGGAGACAGGAAAAAACAAGGAAAATATTTACAGCACAGCTAAGAAAACTAAAAATAGTTTCGCATACTTTCTGTGTAAGAAAAACAAATACCCAATGGATCAAAGGGCTAAGCACAAAACAGCTCATAAAAAAACATGAATAGCTAATAAGTAGAAAACAGTATTTAATATCCTACTTATGAAAGTTCAAATGACAATTAGAAAACATTTATTTCCTTCAAAATGGCAAAAAGGAAAAAAATAATAAAAATATGCCATCTTGATGAGTTTAGGAAAAGGGGATATTCAAGCACTAACGGTGAAGCTGCCAATTGGCTCAAGGTCTCTGGAGGGGCGGGGCTGTGGTCCCATGGCAGACTGCCCAGCAGTCCTCACAAGCACTTGTTCACAAAAGACATCTCTCTGCTAGGACTCTAGATACTGCTGCTGAGTGACACTACCCACAAAACATCAGGATTTCATGCTCAGTCCCCGGACTGGGTGGGTAACAGGGGACACAGTTCAGGGAGTGCCGGGCCCTGTTATGGCCACCCAGCCATGTGAAGGGGAAACAGGGGCTCAGGCACAGGCTACTCACCACCATGTTGTATGCATCAGGAACTTCTGTTTCAAACTGAAATTTTCCACCCTGGTAGTAACCCTCATCTATCAAAAAAACACAACACAAAACAAAAAATCCTTTAAAATAAAAAAAAGAAAAAGAAAACAAAAGCAAACACCTGTTAGGATATGGCAAACACAGAGGAGAAAGAGCTCATAAGAGGACTCAGGGTCCTTTGTCAGGCTACCAGATCCTGCCCGAACTGGTTCAGACACCTCTCCACTACGCCTGCCTGCTCTTGGCCTCCTCCCTGACCCGATGTCCTCCTCCTTCTGAAGACTGGCTCCTCCTCTTCAGTCTCCAGAACCCTGACCTAAGCAGCCTGCTCTCCCCCAGGCCTACCTATTCTGCCCTGCAGCACCCAGCATGTCCCCTCATCACATCTCGACAGGTAACACCCTATTTAAGTTGCGTGGTCACCTGTTTGCTGCTGGTCTCCCCATGAACGTCAGGTCCGTGGAGTAAGGGACTAGTGGTGACTGCTGAACGCCCAGTGCCTGGCACATGGCTTTTGGCTGCTTAACAAAGGTTTACTAGGACAGACCCTGTGCAGGGCACTGCTCCAAGCCCTGGGGACACATCCTTGTACCAGACAAAATTGCTGCCTCGCTAATGTGCCTGGTCAACAGCTGGGGGGCGGGCATGCAGGAGGCCCAGATTTGCAGTGGTACCTCCATGCCACTCCCCAGGTCTGCAGACCCCACAGCACTGTGCCAATGTCCTTAACTGTGCCACCAGACACACTGCCTCTTCTAGAGTCCATGTGCAGGTGAGGCAGGTACCTGGATGTAAACGCTGCCAGCTGCCACCAGCAGAGGGCGCAGGGCATGAATTTGACAAAATTAACCCATCTTTAAATTAAAACAAAGGTTTAACTTCACCCAAACTATTTCTCATCAGGAACAAATCAGCAATACTACATCTTACCACTTCCCTCAGCTGTTTACACAAAATAAACATTTAATATCTGCTTCTTGCATTTGGTTTTGATTTTGTTGTCCAACTAGCTTTCATTTTTAAGCCCGTCTTTCTGTGGTTTCTTTCTTTGGTATTACGCTTAAAAGGTCTTTCTAAGCTCTGGCTGGTCTTTTTCACTGGTTAGAACCTTGGTGCTTGAACTGAAGGGTCATGGGTTCGATTCCCAGTCAAGGGCTCTTACCTGGGTTGCAGGTTCAATCCCTGGCCCTCATCGGGGCGTTTGTGGGAAGGAACCAATTGATGTATTGTATATCTCTCTCACATCGATGTTTCTGTCTCTCTCCCTCTCTCTGTTTCCCTCTCTCCCTTCAATTCTATCTAAAATCAATGGAAAAATATCCTCAGGTGAGGATTAACAACAAGAAATGATACCAGAATTTAATAAATGAATTTAGCAAGGTAACAAGACACATGATCAATATATTTTAAAAAATCAAATGCATTACTTGGCCAGTGTGGCTCAGTGATTGAGTGTCAACCTATGAACCAGGAGGTAACAGTTCAATTTACAGTCAGGGCATATTCCCAGGAAGGGGCATACAGGAGGCAACAAAAAATTATTCTCTCTTATCATTGATGTTTCTTTCTCTTTCGCTCCCTTCTCTGAAATTAACAAAAATTTTTTTAAAATTATCAACTGTATTTTTATATACTAATAACAAGTAAAATAGAAAATTTTAAAATATCATTTACAACAACTTCAAAAAGCATGGAATCCTTAGCGACATATTTAACAAAGTGCTTGCAGGACCTTTATACACACCAATACTACAAAATGCTGCCAAGAGAAAGTAAAGAAGGCTTAAGTAGATGCAGATGTTCAGCATGCTCTTGGATTGGAATACTCAATATTGTAATTCACTTCTTGTTGGGCTGATGTATAATGTCAACACAGTCTCACTAAAAATTAAATCCACGGTGAGATACAATTTCACACCCTGATAAGTATGTAAGAGAGTAGGAGAGTCGGAAATTGTCACACATTGCTAGTTGGTATATGGCACAACCACTTTAGAAAGTTTCTTAAAAAAAAATTAAATATATCTTTCCCATGACTCAGATATTCCATTCTTTTTTTTTAATTATTATTTTTTTAAATTGATTTCAGAGAGGAAGGGAGAGGGAGAGATAGAAACATCAATGATGAGAGAAAATGAGAATCACTGCCTGTCTGCCTCTTGTATGCCCCACACTGGGGATCAAACCTTCAACCCAGGCATATGGCCTGACTGGGATTCTCTATCATCATTGATGTTTCTATCTCTCTGAACCATCTCTGAAATAAAAATATATATATATTTTAAAAAAAATTAGTACATTTTATTGTTTGTAATTTTATACCCCAATAAATGTACTTACAAAGGAAAACCTAAAATTAAAATAATAATTGTTCTTTATGTCCACAGCCCCCTCTGCCTAAAAGCCTCCATACCACAGTGGGGCAGGCTGAGGGACCTCCACAGACCAGCTGGGCAACTGTGACCTGGCGGGCCCAGTGTGTCACCCCTCACAGGAGGCTCTGGGGGAGAGATGAGCCAGTGTTTGGGGTTTTGATTTGTTTTGTTTCACTTGCTAATATTTTTTGTTTTCTTTTATGAGTCCATGTGAAGACTTTGTTTTCTCCTAAATTCATTTCTTTTCTTCTGTCACCAAATTTCAGTTCCATCTTTTCTCTGAAGAGCATATTTATTTCCAAGCATGAGGGACACTCCAAAAACCACCAAAACTGAAATGTCATCAAGTTGCCTGAAGCCAGCCAAAGAGCTTTGAGCTTCAAACACAGAAGCAGCTCCTCCACCCTGAGCACCCAGTGCCGAAATGTCACACATTCATTCCTGGGCTTTCAGACCCAGCCCAAAGATTACTGGCTGCAAATGATCCAGTGTCTACACCATCTGCTTCATCCATCCTTAAAACTCTACTTCTTAGGCACATGTCAGTTTTTTCAATACTAAAAGGAGTGTGACTCCAGAAAGTCTTTTAAAAACCAGGCTATCGGGCCAGTGTTCAGGGCTGGCAGATAGCACCCTGCTTCACTTAACTGAGGGCAGGAGCCACAGGCTCTCTGACTCAGTATGTGAGGAGCGCGCTGGGCACACAGCTCCCGGCGACAATTATGTCCCTGACGTGCACATATCACAAACAGAAATCCTATTATAAATACTCAGTTACAGGCACAGAAACACAAGTTCCTTTTAACCTGATCCAACAGAGAATACCAAAACCATACAATTGAGCTCTGTTTTCAAGAACAACAGAAAGAATATGAAAGACAGTGTCATATACATAATCGTTGTGATGGGGGGGGGGGGAGGCAGAGGAAGGGGGATGCAATTTAAAAAAAAAGAAACATTTAACCAGAGGTTTGACACAAACCCACTCCAGGAAAATAGTGACAAGCATGGCAAAGTCCAACAGGTGGCTTAGAAGGACACAACCACAGAATCCCTGAGAGCCATTGACAATGCCCAGAAAGACGGAGAGCAATGTTTTTACTACAAATACACAACTCTGAGACAGCTTACTCATCAGAGAACCAGTCTTCTTCCCCACAACAATTTCTGAAAATACCCTGCACTGGTGATCTGAGTCACCAGGAAACACAAAGTGCTCGGCGCCCTTCAATAAAACCAGCAGAGCATGCAGTGGTTTTATGAAGGTGACCAAGAGTGGTCACCATTTCACCTTTCAACTTGCAGTCCCGAGTCTGGTTATCTCTGGGCGTCAGGCATATACAACAGCCCATTCAGGTTTAACTCTATCCTAGTGCCACTCATCTTAGTGGAAATGGTCACAGACTGAATTTATGTTCATGTCCCAGAGCAGCTTATAGACCACCATATAGATTCAATAAATTTTTAAAACTTTCCAAGCACATTTTAAAAATGGGATTTCTCCTGTTATTATAAAAAAATTTTTTTACAGGAAACTCTCTCTCTCTCTCTCTCTCTCTCTCTCTCTCCCTCTCTCCCTTTAGGAAGACAATTTCAGGGCTTATTTGGTGGGTCATTATCACCTACTGAAATTCTGCATTCTTTCACTTTTAAATTAGCTAGTGACTCCTGAGTCTGCTTCTCATTCCCTCTATCCTCCACATACAGCACCCTCACTTCCTCCACAACATTCCTTTTCCCTCTATTTAATTCCTTTGCTCCTCCCCTTCTCTCTCTCCCTCCCACTGGCACCACGCCCATTGCCCAAGGTAATGCTGGCCCTGTGCTGGAACCTGGATCCTTTGGAGCTGCACTGTGAACAGAAAACCAGTCTTTCCTCCCGTTGACCAGTGTGACCAGGGAAGAGACGAGCACCTGCAGCTGAGACACTTATCAGTCCCAAGGAGGACAGCTGGCACCCTGCCCTATCCACCTGTGCTGCACTCAGCCATCTGCGTAGCCTCACAACCCCCCTGGGAGATAGGCCCGTTCCATCCCACTCCATGCAGGTGGGCCGTGGCTGAGGGGTCAGGAAGTGATTTCATGGTCCCACAGCTGCTACCGACAGAGCAGAATCTGAACCACAGTGCACACTCCTCACCACACACCAGCAACCTGTCCTTGTACACTGTGGCCTGGTCTGTCCTAGTTATTGGAATGAATGCCTCAGATTCACAGCATAGGCTCTATTTGACCATAAAGTATTTATTTTGTTGTCATACGGAAAGGTCATTACTGTCATAAACTCAAAAAATTAGAGGACAAAGATTATTTGGGCAGCCTTTAAAATTTGCTGTGTAAGAAGTATATAAAAATATTACCTGGGGTCACAGTTAGCTGAAAGCAATGAAGCTTGTTTGGATCAGGAAAATGCACTTTACATGTACCTGCAAGAGAAATAGCATGTCAGGAAGTTTTTACTGGGACCCAAATAAGAAACAGTTCATATCACAGCCCACTGTACCCATAAATACTATATATTAAAAATGCTTTAAAAAATATGAACTTACCTTTAGTAACTGATTTCATGATTACTGAAGGATGTGTCCCACAATAATCTTTACAGCTTTAGGTGGAAATGGGCCCCCTTCTCCCCAGTCAGTTGGCACTCTATAGCCTTCGCCCAGACTGGGAGACCCACTTGTAAAATATTTCACCCACATCCTCAGTATCAGAACAAATTTTTAAAAGTTCTAATTCAAAAAAACATTTAAATGGTGAAAGTTTTCAGACTTTGAAGGTCTTAAGAAAGGAACATTGCCACATATCACAGGTTCACTGCCTGGATAGCAAGCATACTCAGGAGTGAGGGCTGCACATGGTCTGAGTGGGAGAACCAAGCAGGGGTGGGGACCTGGTGACATCAGCCAGTATAGCCATCCTACCTCATGCGCAAAGATAAACGAGAACTTTCTGGACCAAAATGGTGCATCATCACTAACAAAACTAGGGCTGTCCATTATTGATTTATAGACCATTTCACTCAAAGAGAACGTGGCAGATAGGAAACCTAGCCAAACGCACCTCTGCTACAGTGAGGAGAGAGACACCGCCTGCTACGGTCAGAAAGACTCATCTCCTCTTACAGCCTTGAAAATGGTCTGTTCCCTGTCTGCACAGAAATTAAAGCGTATTCCTACCGTACATGAAATTCAGATTATTAAAATCACAAGTTTCTCCATGCAATTACTTTTCAGAACTAATGTTGGATGGGGAGCTATACTTACAAGGTAAGTTAGCTTCAAGTTCTGCAACCTCTGTAGAAACAAAGAGATTATTGTTAATATCACTCAACTACTCCACATGAAATTACCAACTCTAAATTCGAAATTTCTGCCAGAACTGAGGAAAAAATAAGTAAAATGAACGACTCAAACCCTAAACTTGGCCTCAAGTTTAGACTTTAAGCCATGAAGTTGCTTTCAAATATACAAAGTGACATGTAGGATGCCATCAAATACAGTCAAGGGCCCTTAAGAGTTTACTTTCAAAGTGAAAACCTTAACATTAACACAGAAATTACCTCTAGGTAAACAGTCACGAACTGTTTTCTAAAACCTTGTTCCCCCCAAGTATAGAAGCTCCTTCTCTCAACATTGATTTACTTATATACCTGTATCTCTTCCAGCTTTTCAGACCTGCCTTCCCATGATGGCTCACCTAGCGTGCTGCTCTTTTCAGTGAGAGAACTAGCCTCCTGGTGCCTCACCTGTGCCCGTGCCCATGCCCTTGGAGCTGCATTCCTTGGCCCCAATGCTCTCCTCCAGGGCCTGTACTATCAGTCATTACAGCACTGAAGCCCAGCACCCACTGCCAGCACAGAGCTACAAAACCTCAGCCATCCTACTACTACACAACTGATCTGGGGGGGTGAAGGGGACACACCCAGAAATAACTGGGCAAGCAAGTGCTCTCTGCCTCAGGCATAACAGAATGTGCTGGGATTCCCTTCAGCTGTGGAGATTAAAGGAGGGGGGGAGGGGTTGAGTGGGCTCCAAAGAAAAAATAGAATTTGTCCAGTAGAGGTGGAGGTTAGTGATGTGCAAAACCATAGAACACGTGACAGGCACCAAAGCTAGAGTGTGGAGCAACGGGAAAGGAGGTCAGGATCGTAGAGGTCCCAAGAGCATGGCTCAGAATTCTAAACTATATTCTGCAGCAACAGCAGCCAAGGAAGATCTCTGAACCAAAGTTCCTAAGCTTTGTCTCAAGAGGACCACTTTAGGAAGGGCACAGCGAAGGCTAGGTGACCTGTGAGCTGGGCACTTGGGTAGGCAGCAAAGGCCTGGCTTGAGGGCAGAGCATGGAAGGAGCTGCCAGCTGTGTGGGGCGAGAGGCGTCCAAGATGGAGCACAGGGCTGGGGAAGCCCTGGGAGAAGTACACTGAAGTCTGGGTGCATGATCAAGTCAGGGTTGAGGAGCCCCTGCAGAGTGATGCCACCTGAGGTGATGAGACCAACAAAAGTGGGGAGACTGGTGAGAAAAACCTCAGCAGAAAGCAGAGCACAAGAAGCCAGGAAAGTTAAGAGTAAGAAAGAGGTGGAAAACTATGGGGAAATGTGGTGATTCATTAAAGAGAGGACAGGCTGGTCCAAGGGGAATGAGGCCCAAGGCATAGCCAATGGGTGTGATGGACCCAGCTGAGGACATTCAAAACAGCAGGAAGGCAAGGGGAAAGATGAAAACCAGATTTAAAAAACTAAAAATCAAATGAGTGGTCAAAATATAAAAGCTACAGTTATGAAGATTTCTTCAAGTGATGTGAAGAGGAGTGGAAAGAGGAGGGCAGAGGCCACCGGTTTGCAAAACTGAGTGCTAAGTGCGTTAGTGGGAAGACTGGTTCTGCTCTCAGGCTAAGATTTGGGAAACCCACAGGCTTTTGACTTCAGCTGACTAAGAATCTGGGTAGAGAAAGGCCTACAAAATGTATCTGCTTGGGGATCCAGGTGTTTGGAATTGCATCTAGAAAGTGGAGTGGGGCAGAGGAGCCAGGGAACACAGTTCCGGGTGTTATAGCCAATCAGCGGAGCTGGGCATGGGGAGAGCAGTGACCCTAATCATCCTCTGGAAAAGGACCAGGTTTTGTGGTGAAATGCAAGCCCAGGAGTCTCCCTTCTTGGTAGTGTTATGTTGTACATTCAAACATATCCACTTAACATCATGGAGAGCCCGTGAGAAGTTCAATATCATTACTCTCATAACGACCACAGTGATCTTCAGTTTTGGCCTCATGACTGGCTTACTATTGCCCTAACCTAGAGCAGGGTGCTCATGAAAGAAAGTGGGGTGCAGAGGACCACAGCGTTCTGCACTCTGAGGCATCCACTCTGATAGGAAGGAGCAAGGGCCTTGCTCTGCTCCAACAGCTCACACAGGATTTCATTGTATCGGAAAAGCAGACATTTTATAAATGAATCATTCATATTAACAACTTTAAAAGTTATCCATATAATTAAACTATGTTTTTAAGGCACATCCTATTTACATATTTTATTATACTATTATTTAAATTTTTATTGGTAAGAATTTGCAAGAAACAGTCCTTGAGGCCCTTCTTTTGAGATAGATGCTGGCCACAGGAACCAGGCTTTCTCTGGGGGCCTATGCCATCTACAGTCAGGAGAGCTCTGCTCACCCACCTTTACAAAAGCCCAGTGAGATGTGCCCAGAGGGTTTGGGGGAGGGGGCACCTAACAGAAGTAAAATGTTTGAGAAGACATTCTAGTGCTAAGGGAAGAGAGGAGGTCTGGAGCTAGGGTGGCGGGGAGTGCTGACCAGGCATGATGACGACAGGGCCACAGAAGCAGCCCCACACCGCTGGCACAGGCGGAGGGCGCCTCACTCTAGGACAGGGGTTCTCTACCCTGCAGCAATGCCAATCACCTGGGGAGATTTTTCCTGACCTTTACAGCTTTAGCGAGTACCATTTATATACTAAAAAGACCTACTTATGTGTATGATTCAATTATTTTTAGTAAAATCTGGAGTTGTGCTTCCATTGTCACAATCTAGAATAGGATGGGGAATGTCTGGCCAGAGGGCCATATAAGCCCCAAGAAATCATTTGGTCTGGTCCTGCCAAGGTATTAGAGGTGAGTTAATTAAATGTCTGACCAAATACAGCAGGCCAATCTTTAAGCTGATAATTTTTTATTTTATAGATATACAAATGGCCCTTGGCAGAAAAATGGTTTCCATCCCTGACCTAGAACCTGCAGAGCAAACCCTGCCCCCTCACAGCCCTGCCAGGCAATACACCAGAAGTTCTAGGTGGGGCTCAGGCCTCTGAGTTGCTACTCTCCCCAGGTACAGGAAATTGCTGTCAGCTGTTGTGCCAAGCTATATTTATACACAGCTGGTTACACAGACTTAACAACTTCATACTATAGTCTAGACCTGTGGTTGGCAAACTGTGGCTCATAAGCCACATGCGGCTCTTTGGCCCTTTGAATGTGGTTCTTGCACAAAATACCACGGCCTGGGCGAGTCTATTTTGAAGAAGTGGCATTAGAAGAAGTTTAAGTTTTAAAAATTTGGCTCTCAAAAGAAATTTCAATCATTGTACAGTTGATATTTGGCTCTGTTGACTAATGAGTAGGTAGGTACATTGTTATTAACTTAATTAGGGTACTCCTAATTTTGTGGAAGAGCCACACTCAAGGAGCCAAAGAGCCGCATGTGGCTCGTGAGCTACAGTTTGCTGACCAGGAGTCTAGACTTAAATTCCTGATGAGCACTATGCTTGCATTTATTTCCACGATCAGTGTGACCCACTCAAGGAAGGTGGACAGGGCCGGGGAGAGCCCTCAGACCCAGTCCAGCAATGACCAAACCAGAGGCAGGGTATCTGTAGGCTTCTGGTCCAACAGCCAATGCAGCAAGGAATACCATTCTGGGGGCACAAAGACTTCAATAAAGATGCCAGGTACTCTAATTCAGCCACTATACAAGACAAAACGAGCCACAGAAGCTCACACAGTGTTGCTCTCGGGAGAGCTGTCACAAATGACAACAGTTTCTCTACATCTCCAATGATGGCAAATACTACTCATTAACACCAATAGTTTCTCTACATCTGCAATGATGGCAAATACTACTCATTAACATCAATAGTTTCTCTACATCTGCATTGATGGCAAGTACTATTCATTAACACCAATAGTTTCTCTACATCGGCAATGATGGCAAATACTACTCATTAACATCAATAGTTACCACTAAGTGTCTGACCAAAGAAACAAGTGGATTGCTTTACATGCTTGAGGCCTCTTGGAAAAGCAGTTACCCTTTCCTGCATTACCTTAGTGCCAAAGGACATGAACCCCCACCTGTTCTGTAACAACAAATTCAGATATTTTACCCTGCTTAAGGTTTCACCTGTCCCAAGATGCTAACACATCCACTGCACACTGGCCCAGCCTTTCTGGGAGGCACCTGGCACCTTGCACAATTCCGTGGCTGCACAACTTCCTTCTGAGAAATGAGACTCTTTTCCTTTCTAACTAAAGATCAAACCACAGAGCCCACTCGAAGCATGACTACACAGGAAGATCAGATGAACCTGCACTCTCTCCATGGCAGAGAATGAACAGACTTGCCCAGCCCTGGGACAGTACCTGGCCCTGAGCCTGGCACACACAGGGTGCTCAGAAAGTGCTTGACAAACAAGCACACTTGTTGGCAAGATGGCAGTGAATGTCCTGAGGCGTGAAGAACCTTTCTCCTGGGATAGCTGGGGACAAAGGCTGCATTCTCCTGGGATAGCTGGGGACAAAGGCTGCACATAGATTCAGTCCCTTTAGAGCCGCTGATTCCAGACGTGAGCTTGAACTCAGTCAACTCAGTTCCAAATCTCCACACTTAACAAAGACTAACAGGCAAAAAGTGCCCGCCAGCCTGCCTGGGCCCCTTGAGTCTTTGGGGGTCAGAATCAGTAGAATGATAGCAAGCAGGCACTAAGTTTGCTGAGTGGACAAGTGAAAAACAGGGCCACCTTATGAAAGACAAGAAGTCAGCAATTCTGCCTGAGGGCATTTTTGGGAGGTGGAAACACCGTCAACAGCCCACAAAGGTAAGGCATGAAAGCACTAGCTCCCCAGTCAGGCTGACCTAAGTTGGAGCCAACAGGAAATGCACAGATCTGACACCCTCTCCCCAGTGTCCCCAGCTCACAGGGTTCAGAGCAGGCAGTGGCCCTCAATCCTGGCTCAGACCATTCACTGGATTGTTCTACACTCCCCATTTCTGGCCAGGAGGACATCCTTGAGAACCATCCTGGGGGTTCAAATCACATGCTGGTGTGGTGAAGGTGTCAGTATGATAGAGAGTGGGCATGGCTGGGCCCTTTAGGACCTAGTCTCTTTCCTGGGTGCTCGCTGCTCTGAAATAGGTTCTGGTGTATCCAAGGACAACTGACTCCAGCCTTCTGCTGCCCTGGAAGACACTCCTGCCCTTAGAGAAGGGGCAAAGTCCAGCATGACGAGCCCCAGTGGGCTACCCAACTATGTCAGGGCTAGATGTGTGTGGGAGCCTCTCTTCTCTGCCCTTGTACTCTTTCCTGCTCCTTTGTTTCTGCTTGCTGGGCCTGCCCCTGAGAGCCTGCCCTACCCCTATATGTGGGTCCAGCTGTCCTCCTGCACTAAAGCTGCCTCCAGCAAATTTCTCAATCCCCTATGTCCAGCTTCAAAATAAACCACCCTCCAGCAAGATTAGCAAAGGTCAGACTAGATTTGCACTAGAAAGTGCCCAACAGAGGGCCAGGCTCGAGAGCTTAGTGTACAAAGCTGCTATAAACATTATGGGGGTATGGTCAACCAGATTGCACAGTACACCTGCCAGCTTCCCACCTGTTCCTCCTTAGCAAAGGTCTGGACCATCCTCACTGTAACTCCCCAGCAACCAAAACACCCTCCACTCCAAGGACAACAACATGCATCAAACCCTTTTCCAGGTGCTGCCTGGCTCCTGCTTCCGTTGTACAATAGATGGAACCCTTGAGCCAGCACCCGGAAGAGACTCAGGTCCTAAAGGGCCCACCCAAGTGAGGTGGTACCACCACGGCACCCTCTGACCCCACAGGATAAAGCTGCTTAGCAAACCCACTGCAATCCAGCGCTCTCCCCAACAGAACAGGCAATGCCAAAATGTAGAGAACAGTTCTTACTCTACCAGGAGGCATAAGCCAGAGCTGAGTCAACGTTCGGGGGCAGCAGAACAAGGAAGCATGTGCCCCTAAACCTGAGGCCTTCCTGTTCCCGTTCCTTCCCAAGCTGAGCACTGCTTTGTTTCTGAGAAGGCCCGACACAGCACGTGTATACATAGTGCGTACATACGCATGGCTTCCCTGCCACAAAAAGTATCAGGATATCAAATACCAGTCACCCCCACCGTGACTGCCTAGAAGAACACGAACACAGACAGTTCTAACAAACTACTCACATACTCACATATCAAGTGCTTCCTAGCTCCTCACACTTAAGAAATGAAAACACGTCATAAGCTCTTTCACGGCAGGGCTGTTTCTCCCTCAACTCTGTAGTCCTCGACCCTAAAAAACTGCCTATGCACCTGAGAGCTGTATGTCTGTGCAATGAGTCACACAGAAGCTGCACACAAACACATGTGACCCACAGCTCCGGGACGACGTGCTGTTAATTCTGCAAGGGGAACTAAGTTTGCACAGGCTCTCCTCAGGCTTTGACTTGATTAAATGGAGAAGAATCCTAAGAGATTACCCAATTCCACTCCCTCCCTTGGTGCTGAGGGGTCCAGAAGAAACAGACCCCTCTCTCAGGAGTCAACAATGACAGCCCTGAGATCAGAGTGGTAGATCTGCTCACTCTCAGGACTTTACTCCTGCCAGTGTGCTGGCAGCCCCACAGAGAATACTCCAAGTACATAAGACACACCAGTTTCTAATGCACTTCCTCACCAGCAGCACTCCCACAGCACACAGGTTTAAGTAATAAGCGGTTACGCTCTAACGTTTTCAAACAAGCTGCTTCACACTTCAACAGAGCCCCCAGCCAGCCTCCTCGATTGTTGTGGAATATAAAGAGCTCAGACCTTTAACGAGCAGCCTGTCTCTCACAGACACCCTGCGAGTGGAGTCAGAGGCTGTGGTTGACGTCCGGGACCCTTTGAGACCGTCATCCCGCTTCAGTTTGCTCGCCAGGGTCAGCATTACTGCTGCCTTTACCTGAAAGACAGATGGAAGGTCAGTTAAGAACAAATCTCTAGACAGCAGCTGAATACTGTCCACAATGATGTAAGTGGTTTTCACTTTTTTCTTTAGTTATAGAAAAAATTGGCATTTTAGCTACATGAAGACTGGATTCCTTCATAATAAATTTGGGTAATCTCTACACCCCCTCTATAAGTCAAATTTTAAAAGTATGAGTTAAAATTTTTAAAAGGGAGCTTAAATTTTAAAAATGGATTTAATACCCACTGGGTGCCAGGCCCTGGGGTATGGTGGGGACAGAGCTCCAGAGCTCACAGTCTAGGGGAGCCTCCACTGACAGCTTCCTCTTGGGCTCACCACTGTCCATGTAAGTCTGCCCTTCCCCACTGCAGGGACATGCACCTGTGTGTGCCTGGCATGCTGGGCACATAGCAGACTAGGGGGTTGTCAGCCTCTGGTGAGGAGAGGACAGTGATGCTTTGCTTTTCTTCTTCCTTTAAGAAAGGTGGGGCTAGAACCTTAATAACCACCTTCACATTTATTGTTTTTTATTTACATTTTTAGGCAATATCAACATCAAGTTTAAATTATAACCAATGCCCCCCAAATAGATTCTCTTTGCTGGCCGCTTCCAACCCATCTGTGTTTCAGATTCCCACAGAGAGCTCACAGGTAAGAATAATAAAGACCAACACGGGTGATGTACCTGACTGCTTGGAAGAAAGGGCTCAAAAATGTCACTAGATCTGTACAGTATCACTGTCTTTTAGAACAGCTGTCGCCAACCTTCTGGACCTCATTGGTGACCGCTGCTCTAGAATCATGCCTCCTAGTTCTTACTTGCTTTGACACAGTTGGAAAGGGACTCGAGCTTCTTCTGACTATGGACACAAATTGGTCACCAGCCCAATATTTCCATAATTTCCTGCATTACCTTAACATCAATTTCTTTCAATACCATTCTGATTATTTTCAAGAGAAAATGATCTAAAACTTCCAGAGGGCCCTAGCTGGTTTGGTTCAGTGGATAGAGAGCCGGCCTGAAGACTGAAGGGTTCTGGATTCGATTCCGGTCAAGGACACCTGCCAGGGTTGCCCACTCGATCCCCAGCAGGGGGCACAGGAGGCAGCCGATCAATGATTCTCTTTCATTATTGATGTTTCTATCTCTCTCTCCCTTCCTCTCTGAAATCAATAGAGGTATATAATACATAAATAAAAATAAAAATAAACTTCCCAAAGGAAAACTTGATCTAAGCACAGAACTGTTAGTTTGAGGCTAAGATCTTTAAAGGCAAAATAGGTATAAGGGTACTCCTCCTCCTGGGTATTTTTTTACAATTTTAACCCAAGTCAGTTACATAGCTTCTCACACCATCTTCTATATCCCCCCAGACTATAAGATTTTATTTTCAATTATTTGTACCATGAAAGCAACATATTAAGTATCTTCTGAATTGTGACCTCTGAACATACACGTGTGCAACACACACATGTGCATGCACACACATTCACATCTCTGGCCCCTTAAAAGAATCACTGGTCTAGCCGAAACTGGTTTGGCTCAGTGGATAGAGCGTCGGCCTGTGGACTGAAAAGTCCCAGGTTCGATTCCAGTCAAGGGCATGTACCTTGGTTGTGAGCACATCCCCAGTAGGGGATGTGCAGGACGCAGCTGATCGATGTTTCTCTTATTGATGTTTCTAACTTTCTATTCCTTCTCTCTTTCTCTCTGTAAAAAATCAATAAAATATGTTAAAAAAAAAAAAAGAATCACTGATTTAAATGCTTCAGAAGATAGTTCAACTACACATTAGGGTTCATAAGCTATGCGAATTTCAAGTCTGGGAAGGCCTTCTACTCTTCGCACTTTTTACAGACGTGGAACGGCAGGCCATGGGGACCTGGTGACTAGCTTGTCTGAGGTCACTCGGTTGCCAGAAGCAGTAACCACAGAAATACTAGTTTCCCTTCTGGAGACAATGGATGGGAACATTTTTACCTTGAGATGAATGGTTCCAAAGGTATATACATCCATCCAGCAATTTGGATACTAGTACTTTAAAACATGTGTAGTTAGTGTACTTCAATTACACCTCAAGAAAGTTGAAAAAAGGTGAAAACACACCAACACTAGCTTTTTCATTCCCACCTATCATGTCATCTTTTCAGGTGGATCTATGTAGAGGCATGGACCACAATCAAGGAGCACGCCTTTTCAGGTTTACTCAGAGCAGGGGTTCCCAGTTCAGTTTATAAAGTAACTTCACAAAAGGGGGGGAGGGGCACTGGGAAATACCTTTTGGTGCTGCATTAGCCCTCACCCAGAATGATCCATCAGGCACCCTTAAGGTGATCTGGACCATAAAGCAAGGCTTGCCTCCCAGACAAGCCCACTGCCATGCACCAAGAATGAACACATCAGTCCTACCACATCATCAGGGCCACCTGAGGACGACGGCCAAAACAGGCATCTGTCACTTGGCTGGAAGCACTTGGTTTTTATCCTCTACCTGGCCTTGGCAATGAAATATGGCAAAAAATAAAAGTATAGCACGTATAGAGTTCAGCAGGCAGCACACGAGGAAAGTCATGAGAAAGAGCCCTGTGGAAAAGTCAGGGCATGGGCACATGCCTGGTCCACACCCAGCTTCCTGAGTGGGCCTACCGAGGGAGCCACTCAGAGGGCCCTGGCAAGACTCACCAGCACTCTTCTGTGCCTCCGCAGTCTAAGGATTCTGCTTAGTTCTTTCAGAACCCTATTGCCCCACACTCAATTCCCCTCTGGGTTAAGCCCACACTCAATTCCACTTAACTTCCTGCCTTGAGATCTTCAAGTTTGTGGTCCTTGATAAAACATACTGGGCATTGACCATGCAACATATAAAAGAAAATAACACTGGTGTTTCCTCTTCTACATTAGATAATACAAGACTTATTTCCCTAGCATTCTAAGAAATTTAAGTATATAATGACCATCCATTTCTCTACCATCTATACTTTTTATACCTTAGGGATAAAAGGCCTAATTTGGAAATGTATCCATTAGATGCTAAATTAACATTAAACAAAGAGATTTGAAGGAAAAATATTCAAACTTGCCCAGAGATTTGCCAAACAGCTCCAGTTGATTCAGATCCTTTTCCTTCTTCAGTATGCTTCATACACTGAAAACCTGGTTTAAAACTAAACTTCCCCTTTACTGCAAATAACTCTGACGAAGGCAGCATTTTTGGAAACATCAGCATTTAGCATGCTCCGTCTCTCTAAATTCCACACATTTAAGTTCCTCTGGGCGGGACTCGCTTTCAGGCTGTTCAAAGATCCATATGTGCTATTTACTAGTTTCACCACCAAGTAAGATTGACTCAGCCTACCTGCATGTACTGGCAAACTCAGACCATGTCACCTGTGCAGGGACACTGGGGCCAGTCAGTGGGTTTACAATTCTTCCTGCCATGAAAAATCCGACTAAGTGTAAAAGATGGAACTGAATGCAAGTCATTAGGGAACAACCACACCAGCTTCTCCAGCCAAAGAGGCCCAGATCTGGACCCAAAAAAGTCCACACCCCACTCTCCTCCGGCAGAAAGCCAGGGCCCAAGAACCTCCCAGCAGGCAAACGGAGTTATTGTGCTTTGGTTGATCAGCCTTTGGAGTCCAATACATTTATCTTCAGCAGTAAACCTGCCCCTTCCCGCACCCTCCTACCTGAAATGAAAGGCAGGTATGTCTAGATGGAGGCCCTCAAGTCCCCCGACAGCTAGCCTGGTGGTGGCTTGTCTCTGAACCCCTTCCCCCCCACCCCCCGTACCCTCCTTCCCCTCCCTCATCCCAACCACAAGTCCTCTGCACAGGGCAGGCCTGCCTCCTCCCTGTTCCTCGACAACACCCCGCATGTCATTTCTGGAAGCTTCTGTTCACTGAGACACCCAGGCCCGGAATGCCATCCTTCCCTTCACCACCCAATCCTACTCCTCGCACAGGAAGAACACATTCCCACCCAGATTCCAGCTTCTCCGCGAAGCCTTCCCGGCCGCGGTCGCGCCGGAGGAATGCGGGCAGGGGCGGGCCCGGCCTCCTCGGGGGCCGGCGGAGGAAACCGAGCCCCGCCGAGGGCAGGGCCACGCCCAAGCTCACACCCCGGCGGCACCGGGTCTGGACCCGGGACCAGCTGCACCGATCGTTCCAAGATGTCCTCCGGCCTCCCTTGTCCTCTCCTCCGCCCCCGGGAACAGCTTCCCCAGCTCGCCGCGGCCGCCCCCAACGGCGTCAGGTCCCGGGCCGACTCCATGGCGGTCACAGTCGGACTGCCGCGTCCGAGACCCGCTCCCGCCGCCACGTCGGGCCAGTGACCTTGGACCGGCGCCCGGCGCCCCGTTTCCTCCGGACAATGCGGCCAGCAGCACCCCCGCGACGGCGGCCATGTGTGTGCCCGGCCCGGCGGGTGCTCCTGCGGGCGGCCCTTCCAGCCCGGCCCCGGCCGGTCCCATTCACGCCGCCCGCCCGGGAGCAGCCGCGCGGCCTGAGGCGGCCCCGGCGCCGCCCGCCCTCGGTCCGCCTGCTGCAGCAGCGCCGCGGGAGGGGAGCCGAGCCGCCTGCAGGCCCGCGACCACCCCTCGCCCGCCGCGGGGCCGCGCGCTCCTCACCTGGGCACCTCGAGACAGGCGAGGCGGGCCCGGCGCCCAACACCATGCCCGGCCGGCCGGCGGCGGCGGCGGCGGCGAGACGCGGCCCCTCACAGCCACACCGGCTCCGGGCGGCGGGACCGGAAGTGGCAGGGCGGAGACTCGACCACTCTCGTCCGCCGCGGCTGGGACTGCGGCGGGCGCTTTAAAAAAAAAAATTCAAAGCCCTGAAGAACTTTATTTGGAGCACAAGATGCGAACAACTGCGTGCGCTGAAGGCGGCTGGGCCTCGCTCATTGGCAGAGGGTGCGGCCGGGGGCGGGAGGAGGATCTCTCGGTCCTCGCTGATTGGCCAGTGGCGGCTGGGGGCGGATCTTCCAGTCAGCTGCGGAGCTTGCGCTTCCGAGCGCCCGGGCCTTTGCGCCTGGTTTCTGCGTCCATTCATTTCTCCCTGGGCTAGGCCTGCTCTCTGCGTCTCAGAGAGACCCGCGCGGCGCCGGAACCGACCGTCTCGATGGACGTCCCCGCTGTGTGGTGCCCAGGAAGCAGAGGACCCGGCCGACCCCACAGCCTGCAGTGGAGGGGGTGAGAGGGCGGGGCGGTGAGATGTGCCTTGGCTGAGGCTCTGCAGAGGAGTGGCTGGGGCCTTTCCTGTGCTTGTCTTAATGGGTTATAGTCCTTCTTTTATCTTTTACAGTTTTGTAAAGCACTTTAAAAGTTTTTCAAATTGTACAAACTCTTCTCACGTCCATTTGTGTGATTGGTGATAAGGGCGGGGTTGGGATTGGGGGAGCAGCGCTCAGGCCAGGCTCCTGGAGGGAATGGGTCTTCTGAAAGATGAGATTCACCACATACACCGGGAGGAAAGAGCCAAGGAGTTGGAATTGTATTTCCAGAAGCCCCGTTGAAAGTTTGAAACAGTGGAGTGACTTTCTTTATAAAAATAAAAAAAAGTCTCTGGCTCTGAGTGAGCTGGTGGGAGGTGTGAAAGAAAAGAGCCACATGTAACCTGAAAAGCTCAGGGAAGGCCTGCATGGCAGTCTTGCAAACCCAGAGACCACAAAAGATGATTTGAAAATTAAATATCTAACAGGTATTTCATGTCCCAGATATTTCACCTGACAAAGATAAACTTTGATCTTTTACTGAGCCCATCTGCCTTCAGGCATCGGAGATGACATATCTGTGAGATGTCTGGGTAAGTTGTAACTTCCTTTTACCCGGACCCCTCAGGGCACAACAAATGGCCTGGAGACATTCCCTCATTGTTATTGTTATCAAGTTAATTGTCAACTGTTAATTACGTTAGAGTATCCTGTATCCATCTCTGTAAACGAAGCTCATGTCCATTGTTTAACCTTTTACCCTATCCCAGAGGTTTCCCCGCTTCGCTTTGTCCCACCTCCCTAATCTACAATATCACCAATGAAATTCATGTAACTAACCTACGTCCCTTTCCTTTGATTGCAATGTATAAATATAGAAATGTAACCCTCCATTCTCTGGAGCATTATCTCAATCCGTTGAGGTTCTGCTTCCTGGCATGTCCACAGTTAGGCTCAAATAAACTCACAAAAAAATTCTTTACAGGTTTCAATGGTTTTTTTCGTTAACAGAGGGGAGCCAGGCAGAGAGGAGACCAGAGCCAGGAAGACCGGTGAAGAGCACGGCTCATGGTAGACCTTCTGTTTGGAACAGGTTCCTCCTTCACCCAGCTAATGAGAGGGCAGGGCGGGACGAGGATGAGCTCCCAACTCCACGGAGTTATCCCTAGCCCTCAAAACCCCTGGACTGGGAGAAATTCGCTCTCTTCCGCCATGCTGCCGGCGTGGGTGGGAGGAGCACATGCTAGCATGGTGAAGGCTCTTTTGTTTATTGCATTGGACTTGGCTCCCTGGTGGTCCTTGGGGATCAGGAAGTCTGGGCGTAACAAACATATAACACGTAACTCCTCATTTTCTCTAAGTTTGGAGAGATGGTGTGCAATCAGTTCCTTAGGTCCCACTGTCTTTTCCTGCAGCTGCACGTCTATGATTCTTTCCCTTTCCAGGCTGGGGCCCCAGAGCCAGCAAAGCCCTGGGAGAACATCGCCCAGGACAGAAACGGCCCTTGCAAGTAATGCACCTGTCGTCTCCAGGAAGCATTCTCAGGACGGTTGCTGACAGCGCAGGGGCGGCCTAGGGTCTGGGCATTTAGGAAGTCTTGCTGAGGGTCCAGACAGGTACCTTCAACACAGGGCTCCTTGCGGCACACTCTGGATGCTGAATCCACTGTGGCAGCAATGCACTGCTGCCCATGTTTCATATTTTGTGTAGTGCCTATACTTTGTTATACTACCCTGTTTCCCTGAAAATAAGACAGTGTCTTATATTAATTTTTTTCTCCCAAAGTTGCACTTATTTTCAGGGGATGTTTTATCTTTCCACGCGATAGGTCTTATTTTTGGAGGATGTCTTATTTTCGGGGAAACACGGTAGGTATCAGAACACTCCAGTGAGTGCTGTGGGCAAAATGCCACAAAACAGTTTTCCCTTAAAAAAAAAAATCACAAAAAAAACGCCCACACAGTTGAAAGGAAATGGATCTTTGTCTCACTAATAGAAAGATGTGGACAGGAAACAGGGAAGGCTGGTCAACAGCCTTAATTGCTCTGAAAGGTCAGAGCTAATCACTCACTGTTTAATTTAAACATTGTTAGCTGAAGCAGCCTCTATCTGTTTGTCTGATGTAAATTTCTGTAATTGGAATTTCCTACCTAAAGGCTATGGGTGTATCCCATAGTCTTAATAAAAAGGGACTGGTTTGGCTCAGTGGATAGAGCTTTGCCTGCAGACTGAAAGGTCCAGATTCTGGTCAAGGGCATGTACCTTGATTGCGGGCACATCCCCAGTAGGGGGTGTGCAGGAGGCAGCTGATTGAGGTTTCTAACACTATCGCTCTCCCTTCCTCTCTGTAAAAAATCAATAAAATATATTTAAAAAAATCAAAGTATATTAAAAAATAAAATTAAAAGGGATAGCAAGGCCAGAGCGGGGTGTAATCCTCTCTTGGGCTCCCGCCTGGCCCCCAATATTCCCAAATTAATACTTTTCTAGTTTCTTTCATTTGTGTGTGGCCTTCTCCAGAACCCGAACCCTGAACCATTCGGGATGTAAAAGGGGTTTCCACAGGAAGGTATATCCATTAGTTATGTGAACACTGGAGTGAACAAGGCAGGAATGATCTGGAGCAACTATACCATGTACTGAGCATTTGTAACATCCAGGGTGGTGTCTGTGATCTGCATCTTGGGCTGCAACCCTCGAGACCACACTGGCATCACCCAAAGCAGTCACCTGGCATGTCAAGGCAGTGCCACCTCCAGGTAGAGTCCCTCCACTTGCAGCCACAGCTCTCTCCCTGTACACTGGGGAAAGGGACCAACATTCTGGGGATTCCTTTTCCAAGTCATGGCTAAAATCCCACAACAGAACTCTGTGCAACGATGCTATGACATCTATCTGTGAAAAGGAGTCACCCTTCAGAATTCACCTGGACCACTGCTTGCTCTGCTGGCATCAGGTGACTTGGCACATGATGCAGTAAAAGTCCTGAAAGCCTTCGAATCTTTTGACCCAGTAATTTCACTCTAGGGATTGGCCTGAGGAAGTAAGCCAAGAACAGAAAGAGCTCTGGCACAAAAATTTCCATTGTGTTATAGAACTTGGAAGCAACCTCAGGCTCAGCATTAGGAGAATGGTTAACTAAATTACTGCTCATTTACTTACAGAAACATTGTACAGCCATTAAGCTTGATCATTACGCAGATTATGTAAAACCACAAACAATAAGTAACATTTAAATTGTTTAGATACCATTACTACAACTCTGGAAAAAAACATATGGGCAGAAACTAGAAGTAAGTAAACAAAAATGAAAAATTGTGTCCAGGTGGTAGGATTATAAGTTTTCCTCTTTTTTTAAAAACTGTCATTTATATGTTATTTTCATAGTAGCACAATACAACGGTCTCTTTTAAACACAATTGATCCTTAATTTGGAAGACTCACTCTCATTCCTTATCACTCCAAACATGAGAAAAGTGGGCCTGGCATCTCCGACAGGGAGGTGGGCTATCTACTTTACCTTCTCTGCAGGAGGAAGGAAGATTTTCTCCTTGCCCAGCAACAAGCCCAGCCAATGGAAAACACCACAGCTCAGCCAATAAGAAACCATCATCACCCTGAACTCTTAAAGAACTTTCATGAGGTCCTTGCCCCATGTTCCTTTCTATAAAAGCCTTCCATTTTGTATAACTCCTCAGAGTTTCTGCTTGCTAGATGAGATGCTGCCTGGCTTATAAATAATTTAACAAAGCCAATTAGATCTTCAATTTGTTCAGTTGATTTTTTAAGAAACAGGATATTTTTTAAAAGTATATTTTATTGATTTTCTTACAGAGAGGAAAAGAGAGAGATAGAGAGCTAGAAACATTGAGAGAGAAACATTGATCAGCTGCCTCTTGCACACCCCCTAACGGGATGTACCCGCAACCAATGTACATGCCCTTGGCCGGAATCGAACCTGGGACCATTCAGTCCACAGACCGACGCTGTACCGCTGAGCCAAACCAGTTTTGGCAAAACAGGATATATATATATTTTTTAATATATATTTTATTGATTTTGTACAGAGAGGAAGGGGGAGAGAGAGCTAGAAACATCGATGAGAGAGAGTCATCGATCAGCTGCCTCTTGCACACCCCCTACTGGGGATATGCCCGCAGCCAAGGTACATGCCCTTGACCGGAATTGAACCCGGGACCCTTCAGTCCCCAAGCCGACGCTCTATCCACTGAGCCAAACCGGTTTCGGCCAAAACAGGATATTTTTTAAAAAATTAAAAAACAGGATAAAAAATTTTGCAAATTTTATGTCTCTCAAAATGCACATGGCAGATATATATTAGAACTCACATCTCATGAAGGAACCAGCTGACTGGAGAGTAGGATCTGAGGCCTGGGAAGGCCCCAGCTAGCCTCTTGAGGATGGCTCAGAGGTCGTATGGGATGTCAGGTGGGGAAGAGGTGAAAATGTCACCCTTCGTGCATTTTTAGCAGTGACAGCTTGGAAGCCACTTAAATCTTCACCACAGGGCCCTGGGACAGTGGTCGGC